TATAAATTATAATAAAATATGTTAAATCTGTTGTATCTGCAGTTGTTTTGCAAAGAAGTTGAACTACATCTTTAAGCAATTCTGCAGTCAAATGCATATTTCAAAATCCTGGCTCAGGAGACTAGCAGTAAACTAAGAAATAGTTGATAAGTGTTTGAAAAATACAAATTTTACATTTCTCTATTATTATCTGCAAAAGATTAGCAAAAGAAATTCATTAAATTATCCTCCATCTTACCACCATCTTTTAAATTTGCGTGCCATTAAAAAAATGCAGTTTTTTTTATGCACGAGCCATTGTAACAGCTCTCTTGGTTTGTCCTTTTTCCTCCAAGGTTTAGCAACCTCCCCCAGCGGTTAGTACAGCACTCCAAGCAACTAATCCTGTATCTATAAACTGTAATGTCAAAGGATTAATGCGTGCCTGGGAACGCAGGTCAAATCTGCTTTAGATCACAACAGTTTGAGTTCAGCTCCTAGCTGAAATATCACAAAACTACCATATAATTTAGTACAAGTCTTGCATTCCTATACTTCGGCTGCTGGTTGCCTTTAATAAAAAGAGGCCCCGGATTGATTTCCCTGGGAATGTATTTTTCTTTATCTAAAACCAAAGTAGTATCAGCTAGAAAGTAGAAGGGTTTCCTAAAATAGTTCTGTATCCGATAAAAATAACACTTTCAAAGTCTGCTTTTAAAATAGTGTAGAAAGTACAGTATGGCGAATTACTGATATTTCCTGAATTCCTTCTGTTTGCTATATTACAATGCCCAGATCCTGTAGGCATCTCTTGGTGGCACGCCCTGCCTTCCCACGGACAGCTGCCGAGACCAGCGGCACTGCACGCAGATGCGGTGGCATACGTTAGCTGAGTCTCGTTTGACACTGAAGGCAATTACTTTTAAGTATTTCTTATGAAAATACAAACCTAATTGGTGCAATACGTAGAATGATACGTGCGGTAAGCGGATCTATATGTATAACTACATCTGGTTTATTTACATTGAGTCGCCAGGAAAAGTACAGCAATTTATACCTAATTATCTAAAAACGTAGTATGCAGAATCTGTCTTATTTTACCTTCTTGATACTTCTGTTAGGTACTGTAGTTGTGTGTCTTTGAGGGTTTTTCCATACGTGAATTCTTGTAATGTGTTTTTACTTCCAGGAAAAAGTGGCAGGTATCCTTTTAGAACATTTGTTTGATTTTACCATTGAAATGTAGTTGAGAGTAGGTATATTAATTCACTTTTGGTTAGTGTGGGTGGGTTTTTAACTAATTTCATTCTATGTTAAAGCTACGGTGTATTCTGTTACCGTAACATAATTACCAGCTTTAGAATACGTCTATACGTGTACGCAGCAGCATCATGGACCCCTGCACCCATCTTCACGGAGCAGCTCTGTGCTTAGACCCGTGTTCTGACCAAGCTTACCTGTACGGAGCTGCAGATGGAAAACCTTTTCTAAGGTTGGTTGCCTTAGAAAAAATAGTCTAGGACGCTGCTGACAGCCGTTTTCTCATGGCCCGACAGGTTCTTCGCTCGGTGCTGCTCTTCCCGACGATAGAGCGAATGGCTCAGTCCCCGCAAGGAAAGCTCATGACCCCTTTGCTGTGCAAACTGCGTTACGTTCTGTACATGCCCGTCTACCTGCTGTCCTTCCTGCCAGAGGGAGTCAAAGCCTCCCTGGTGCGCTTTGCTCTGCGCGGAATGAAGACCTGTGATGAATCTTCCATAACAACCTCCATAAATCTCTTCAGCGTGGACTGCATTGGTGAGCACCTTTTTTTTTTTAGTTTCGTTATACCAGCTTCTGTATTGTTCTCATTTAGTAAATGTTGTTGTGGTTTTGTGGGCAAAAGCTTAATAGTAAAGCATGAATAAGTTTTGAAGAAGGACGGGTCTAATCTTCTCAAATTAAGACCATGGGTACAGGAGAATCCCAAATGAGTCAATTTTGAAAAAAAAAAAAAAGTCTTAAGGGAAAAATAACAAATAAAATATTTCCCCCAAAAATATATACTTCTTAAGAAAACTTTGACCTGCACTACTAACACTATCTCACGTAATTGGAACACCGTTTTACAGTCTAGTTTGTTCCTTATGTCTGCTTACTTTTTGCATTTCATTCATATTTGATAGTGCACATTGATAGTAATCATTTTCACAAAGGGTTCTTTGCATCTGGTTTTTAAAACTATAATTTAACCAGCTCTATAGATTTTGTCATCTGAACTGGAATATTGGTAAATTCAGAAAAGGGCCTTCAGCCTACAAAGATGCATAAAAGTTACTTTATGCACAGAAGAATTTCAGCGCTTTTTGGGGCATGCAAAGAAAGACAGAAGATTAACATTCCTCCAGTGCATATTGCACGCATATTTTGCACATTCTAGCAGGAGAAACAACTATAAGAAAGGGAATAATTTCAGCTAAATTATGTTCAGTTTAGAATGAAAGCCAGAACGTGGATTGCGCTATACTCCAGGTATTTTAGTAAGTTAGCAATTGAAAACAATTTGGAATAGAATTGATGTGCTAACACAGTAATAATAGCAAGAAGGAAGTTTTGATTGCATTAATAGTAGTAAAAACACATTCCTAGATTTCCAGTTGTGCTCTGTCTTCTATCAGTTAAGTTTTACCTACTAATCATCTAAACAGATGTGCCAGAGTAACTCTGACTGCAGGGAGGTCCTGTACCGTCCGTGGTATTTCTGGATGAGTTGGTCTGTACTGGAGGCTCGCCGTGGGACTGGTCAGAGACTGAAGGCGGGATGGGCAGTGCCAAACCGAGACAGCCCCCATTATGTTGTACAAACCTGGCGTGACAGTCGCTCCGTTGCAGTACCCTGTGCCTGACAAAATCAGGCTCCCAGTTGATAATGTAAATTTCTGGTAGGAGTCCTCTGGTTTCTTGCTTGAGTTCCTATTAATTTCTGGCAGTTTTATGATGACCGAGGAGAAAGCAAGTATGCAGTCATACGTACACTAGGCTTTCAGGCTTCTTCCTTTGATAGTTTGGTCTCGGAGAAAGGTATGTGAAGGTCTGTGGGGTCACATCTCCACAAGCCAGGAATCCTTCTCTGGTCCTCACAGATAAACTTTTACCTCTCAAAACAGGTTATCCACATCCAGAGTTGTACTGGAAATGGTCCTTGGCCTGCGTTAACCTCCAAAACAGCATGGCCAGCCATTGTTTGTGAGTGCTGTTTGGCCCAGACCACAGCAGTGGCAGGGATAATTTAGCAGAACGGATTTTGGAGCCTGACTCTCCGAGCTCTTTAGCCCCCAGGCGAATGAGCCCGCTTGATGCGTGCGTGTCAGCCTGCTGTCGTTTTCTGTGCGCGCCGGCGTCTGATCTGTGTCCAAGCTGTAAGGTAAATTGAGGCAAGGAACCAGGCTGAAGGCTCTGGACTCACAGGATGTGATCTCTGCCTATGTTCAGTTTATTGACTGAATTCATTATACCAGGATGAAAACCCTCGTGAGCCAATGTCTTGTAAAACTTGCATAAATAGGCCTTATTGATGCAACTAGTTCCTTTGGGCTTGTGATATCATCTCTCTCAAGCAGAATTCCCCTTTGGTTTCGTCTTTGGAAACTGATGATGTTTTACAGCCCAGTGACTCAGGACCACATGTGTGAATTAATAATCCTAGGGCTTTCGGGATATTGCCTGTTAACCTTCTCTTGTATTGTTTGCGGACAATAGGAAATGTTACCATTCAGCAAAAATTTGCTAAACGTAGCACAACAACTGAGTCTGTCTTATTGGTCTGCTCGACTGTGAGTTACTGAAGCCTCCGAATTTGTGGTAGATATTTTTCTGATTCCTTGTCCCCTAATAAACTGCTAGATGCGGTTCAAAAACGTTCAGCAAATGAAGTTGTTTCTCCTCTCCGGGAAGGTTGCATGTCAACTCATTAAAAATACACATATTGCCTTTGGCATGTACATCTGTTGCATTACTGTAATTGTAATAAAAGCTGTGATTAAGGGCAGAAAAGATGGTAAAAGTTTCCTTAAAACTAATACGTCCGTTAAAACAAACCAACCTGCCAGGGATTTGTTACCACATCCAAAGCTTAGTCACAACAATGTTTTCTCTCCTCTGAAAGGAAATGAGATTTGAAAACTTAATTATAGTGGAACTCTAAGACCGAGTGCCGCTCCTGTTGACATCGAGAGTGAAAAGCTCCATTCAGTGGCAGCAGAATCAGGCCCTTGGTTGAAAGAGTTGGTGAAGAAAGAATAATGTTACCTATCTGTCCCACTGTTTCAATTATGCTTGTTCCTGCTTCTTACCCAAACTCATCTTGCCGTTGTCCTAACTTTATAGTTGATGATACATAGCAGCCCCAGTCGCACAGCAGAAGGCATTGCGATGACACTGTGCAGAAAGGTAACGTAATACAATGTCTTGTCCCAAAGTGACAATAGTACAGAAAGAGGAGAGACAGCAGGGACTGTCAAGAAAATGGATTGTAAGGAAGGATGGGAAGACATAGTGTATAAATAATAAAGGACATAAATATATATATATAAAGGAAATAAGCAATGCAGTTTGCCTACCTGGATTAAACTTCTAGAGAAGATACCTTAGGGCAGAAAAAGCATTACAATGAACAAACTAGCATTTGGGTACTTGTATTCATGAACCTAGGAGATTAATAGACAGAAAAATTGGACATTAGTGACCTTGAGTTATCTGAAACATCGTCACTCTGTTTATTCAGGCTAGCAAAACAAGGCTACCCCTATCTCGCACAGTGGTGGTTGTTCCACTAATCGTGTACAGTCCCGCAATGCTGGAATACTTTGGCACTCCAGCGCGTTGAAATTTGTAAACATTTCTTCGGTGACAGATGCCAGTAGCAGACTTACAGTGACAGCAAACCGTTCTATCTACATGGGACAGGATTTATTGTCCAGCCGTTTGACTGGCAAACTTCCTCCATTTGTTTCTGTAAAATTTCCACAAAAGCACAGACATTACATAATGGGTAAACACCGCAAGGCTTTTTCGAGAGGCGGGCTGGCAGGTCAGAGGTTAACGTCTGGATGACAGTGAAGATAGAGATAAGCACAATAGCAAGAAAAACCTCCAACTGGCCCAAACGTGGCGCGTCCTTTGTGATCTTGAACCTGTGACTTCCCCGGAGGAATCTCCCTGTTTGTTTAACCTGTTCAGGGAGCAGGGGAGCACGGCGATCTGGGGCGGGGGGAGGTCTGCTTTGCGCAATCGGGGCAGGTCGGGAAGGAGGGCACTCAGAAACCTGGAAGGAGGGTTTAGGGTGGGTTTAGGCTGTCACACGAACGCAGGCTGGAGGCAGTAGATTTCTGGTTTATTTTAAGCATCCAAGACGTGTTGTAAGAAGACAAGGAACTAAGATTAAAATGCAGAGTTTGGATTCAAATTTTATCATGTTCCAAGTGTGGAGACATTCATATTTCATGGGGAGTGTATACATTTCCTTCATTTTACAGAGAAAAAACGGCTAAGGCAGTTTCAGGCACTCCACTCTTACACCCACAGGACTGCATCGGAAGCAAGAGTCCTGACTGAGGTACTGAGGTTTGTCTCCCAGCAGTAGCTACTCCTCTCTGTTGGCTGTACGGGATGGCAAAATTACATCCCTGAAGTGCCATAGGGTAAAAAGCTTTCTCATAGGATAAAATTTGCAGAACTGTCAAATAACATCTGGGAGATAAATTTGTGAAACGTAGGCTTCCTGCTGATATGAAAATGGACCATAAGCTTTTACGTTGACTACATTATTTTAAAATTTTATCTACAGTTAGCCAACTGGAAAATTTCTTTCTGGGTTTGAATTATCCCAGCCTTGGGAATTGTCACGTCTTGAGATCTCTTTCCATTTCAGTTCTCTCATCTTAATCAGAGAGATTTTAAATATGACATTACAGATGCTCTTCATCTGACCAATGTGGACATCATGCTGTCCAAATAGTTGGCAACTAAAGCTGATCAGGTGAATCACACCCTACAGATGACTGTTTCTCTTTACTGACCTCAAAGGGACCCTCTCTCTATACTAGACACCTAAAGTTAGAGGAGATGAATCCCACTCTATGTCTACTGGCTTTTCCTTTTGCTGCAGACCTCAGAAAACAATGTGATCTGAATTGTCCATGCAGCCTTTACCCTTGCTCCCAGGACAGTCAGCTATCCCACGCTTTGGCTGCCTTAGAATTTACAGCTGCTGGTTTCTAGTAAGAATCCTGTTGTTTGTTTCCTACCTTCTTTGAAAATTCATTTTAAATCTCCACCTCCATTTCCTGACAAGTAGGATGAGAAATTCTTTGAGTTCTTTTTTTGGGACTAAAATGCTGTAGAAATACCTATCTAACTGGAATACTTGGGTAAGGACAGAGCATGGCACTGGATAGCTCCTCCATCTGTAATGCTCCTATTTTCAGAGTTAAAAAACAGTGTTTAAAGTATTAGGTAAGCACTTGATAAATAAATTCACCTGAAATGGTGAAATAAGAGGGCTTTGCCCCCCTAAAGAGTATTTTTAAAAGCTATATAACCACATAGGTAAAATTTCGTTTACTTTTCTTTCTTTGTTTTAAATTAAAATGGTGTTCTTTTCTTGCAGTGAAATTAAAATTTAACTCCTAAAAGTAACAGAAGGTAATGATGAGTGCCTCTAAATTCAGCACAGAAGGTAGAGCTCTTTTGATTTTGTTGTATGGAACTAAAACTCTCCATTGAGACGTGCAAGGCCAAGGGGGAGTTGTGCATTATAT